TGGTGTCATCTGCAAACTTGCTGAGAGTACTCTCAATCCCACCATCTATGTAATAGATAACAATGTTAAAGAGTACCAGTCCCAAGACACATTCCTGGAGAGCACAACTCATGACCAGCCTCCACCTGATTGTAGAGCCACAACCCTCTGACTATGACAGTCCTCCCTATTCTTTAACCGCTGGATAGTCTAACCTTCAAATCCCTATCTCTCCAATTTAGAGATAAAGGTATAGTGTTAGGGCCATGTCAAAGGCCTTGCAGAAGTCCAGGTAGATTACACCAGTTGCCTTCCCTTTGTCTGATGATGCTGTCACTCCATTATAGAGGGCCACCAGATTGATCAGGCATGATCTGCCCTTGGTGAAGCCGTGCTGTCTTGGATCCTATGTACTGTAATATGTCTCCCCAGAGTACATGCTTTACAATCTTCCCAAGAACAGATGTGAGGCTGATCAGTCTATAGTTTCCTGGGTCTTCCTTTCCCCCTTTTTGAAAATTAAGTGATGTTTCCCTTTCACCAATCTGTGGAAACTTAACCTGATAGCCATGACTTTTCAAATATGATGAAGAGTGGCTTGGCAGTGATATCAGTCAGTTTCCTCAGGACACTGGGATACACATTGTTCAGCCCCACAGACTCATACGCATTCAGCCGCATGAGGCATTCTCAGACTTACTCCACTGTTTCAGAGGGAGGAATTGTGCTCCCCTGATCCCCATCTAGAGGTTCAGGCACATGAGATATGTGGGAAGCACAAGTGCTAGCGAAGACTTGAGGTAAGTAAGTTGCTGAATGCCTCAGCCTTCTCCATCTTTATTGAAGCCAGTTCTCCGGTCTCATTTATCAGAAGGAGTACTCTCCCATTTGCCTGTCTCTTCTGACTGATGTACCTAAAGAATCTGTTCTTGTTATTTTTAATATCCCTCACCAAGTTTAGTTCCATGCACACGTTGGTTTTCCTGATCCCATCTCTCCATGTCTAGACAACATTCCTATATTGTTTCCAGGCCACCCATCCCTGCTTCCGCTGCCTTTACTTTTCCTTCTCTTTCCTCAGCAAGTCCTTGGTCAGCCATGCCCATTTAATGCCTTTTCTACTTGATTTCTTATGTGGAGGGGTGGAGAGCTCTTGTGCTTGCAGAAAAGTGTCCTTAAAGTGCTGACAGCTCTGCTAGTTTCTTTGTCTCTAAGGACAGCTTCTGAAGGGATCCCATCCAATAATTCCTTAAACAGATGGAACTTTGTTCCCATGAGGTTCGGGGATTTGACTATGCTCTTTGTCAGGCTTATATTCCTTGAGATCACAAAACTCAACCAGGGCATGGTCACTACAATCCAGAGTGCATCCCGACTTAACCTCTTTAATGATCTCCTCTGGGTTGGTGAGCTCTGGGTCTAGTGACGTTTCACTCCGGTTGTTGTTAGTGAAACATGCCCCATAAAAAAGGTATAGTTAGCAGAAAAAAGTAGAAGTTACCCTGACTGCTTAGGCCTTGTAGTCAACAGTGATATTCTTGTGTCAGCTTTTTTAAAAAATAGCCTTCTATTTCCAACCCCAAACAGCACACTATTTATACTTAGAAGCTGGCTGTCATATATTTGCTTTCTTTTGCCAGTAACTATCAGCTCTGTGGAGACACATTCTTGGTATGATCATCAACCTCTGCTGTTTAAAAACCATCCCACTCAGTGGCTTCACAAATCATATGCACTGCTTTGAGGAAGTTGCAAGCAAGTAGGCTTTGGCAGGCACTGCTCAAGTGCTGTGGGAAGATGGGAGTGACGGCAGAGGGGAGCAGATGCCAGCAAACTTCCGCGCTGCTGAATGCGCCATGGCACAGTGCAGGAGGGATTCTGGCCTTCACAGAGGTGCCCTGCAGATATCTTGGTGAGGAGAGGGAGGGAGGCTGGGGCCATGGACAAGTCTGGCAGCTGGGGCAGCACACAATGACAGGACTTGGCAGGAATCAGGATGAAGGGCTGCATCCTGACTTACCCTGGAACTGTACCTCAGCCCTGCACTCCTGCAAGTGTCATCCAGTGACGTGCTATGGGAATCAAGCCAGGGGCTGTATAAGTGCTAGTATTGCTATTCACCAATGTAACCTTTGCTCTCCACCAGCTATTTGTGTAGGAAAGTTAAATGCCTCTGTTTACTGAGGGCTAGTGACTGTGCTGACCTGCGATTCACCCCCACCAGATGACAAATCGTTAAAACACAACAGCCTCTGCTTACATTAAATGCTGAGTAAATTAACACGGACCTCGAGGCTGTTTCCTCGCATCACATAATTTCCAAACTCAAGAGTATCTTGCTGAGGAGTTAGTGAACTCTTTCTGCTGCTGATCACTTATTTATTGTCCAGTACTTACATATAAGAGACTTAAATACCATCACCAAGAATCCCACCTTAAATCAAACATAAACTCATTTCTGCAGCCTGCATTTTAAGAACTAGTCTCTCCTAGCAAACCCTGAAGTCATGTTGGCAAACAGCAACCTTCGCATCACTGCTACACACTAGAAGTTACCAGCCAATTCATCTTGGCACTGAAATAGAAACTGCAGTTCCACTGCAGGCTGTTGTGGTGATCTCAACTCTCGTTTGTCCCTTCCTTTTCCTCACACTAAATTTTCTTCTCCAAGAGCTGTACTGGTGATGTCCAGCCAGAAAATGATCCAAGTCCTGGGTCTTACAAGGTCAATCAGAAGATGGGCCTCTTGTGGAACTAACTCAGTCTCCTTCAGACAGTGAAGCTTGTAATTAAACTGAAAGGGATCAAAATTTTTCCAGGGCCATAAACCTACTTTCTCTTCATGTGAATTCCATGGTACTTAAAATACAACTCAGGAAAATCTACTTTAGTTTAATCCTGTTTAAACTTAGTCTGACCTGGTGTCCCAGAAGCATTACCAAAGTCAAATGATATGGTGCACAAACAACTTCACAGGCTCCTTTGGGAATCCCTGTTGTGTTCCTCACATGACCAAATTCTTGTTGATCTACTAAAGTAAACTTCAGATCTACAGTAAAAATGCTCTCCATTCAAGGAAAATGATTTTCCTTGATATTCAGGAAAGTATCAAGTGTACTCAGAAGAGTCAGTTCTAGTAAGTGGAGGCAGGATGGGTGGATATAGCAGTTTTTTAACCAATGTAAATATAACTGCTCACTGTGGTAAAGAACAGATAAACAGGAACAATGAATAGTGAATTAAATTGCTTCTCATTTCCTCAGGTTTGTATTCCAATCTCAGTGACACTGCAAGTGAAGATTCATCCTGTAAGTCTTCATCTTGTCTCTCTATACTGTAAAATCAGCAACGAGGCAAAAACATTGGCATAGCACATTTCCAAAGATGAAACGTCTGACCTGTAACAAGCATCTTTCTACCTATGTTTTTGCCATGCAGTGGGTCGGCTTTAGCTTCTAATACCACTTTTGCAAAAGAGTACACCAGGAAACTCATGAATGCCATCACCAGAATGCTCAGAGGAAATAAACTGTACAGGCCATTGTCAATGAAATCTGAAATCAACAATTAAAGAGGAGTCCAAATACACATGTTTAAATACATCTGGCTGGCATTTTTATGGTTTTCAGAGTGGCCCTCTGCTGGACTCTTTCAAGCAGTTCCTTGTCCTTCCAGAACAGGAGAACCCAGAACCAGACACTGTGTACCAGATGTGGCACCACCAGGGCAGAATGGAGGGGGAGCACCACCTCCCTTCACCTACTAGCCAAGCTCTTCTTCAAGCATCCCAGGATACCGTTGGCAACAAGGCAACACTGCTGGCTCATGGCCAACTTGTTGGCTACCAGAACACCCAGGTCCTTCTCAGAGCTCCTCTCCAGCAGGTCAGAATGGTATATTAGCACAGAACAAAGCTCAGTAGATCTTACACTTTTTAAGTAGATGTTCATAGTCCACTTGTGGGACATTTACATATAATTCATGATCCTACAACGCATTTCATTCCATACTTTCATTCACAGATCTACTGAGATCAGTTATTTCAACAAGCCTTCCCAACATAAAGCCTTTGTTCAGATGATAAAACAGTCAGCAATGCTGAGACTAACGGAGTAACTTCCTAGTGGTACTAGCATGGCTAGTCTTTGGCCAGCTTTCTTAAAATACTCAAGACATGACCATGATAGTACAGACATTGTTTTCAAATACCCAGTTACAAGGTACTTTGTAGCTTTAAATATATATGTACACACACACACACACACACACACACACACACACACACACACACGAAGCTGCATCTGAAATATTTAATTTCCTACAGAAGGTAGAAAATGAATAATGCTTTAAAGCAATTCCCTGATTAAGTTGTAAAATTCTTCCCAGGAAATGGAGTCCCAGAACATGTTCCTGCTCACATATTGATGGCATATACTGTAGTATTAAGTTCCCATGAGCGTTAACGTTAGCTGATTTTTAGGAGGCACATTCTTAAATTTTAACGTAAGCAACTTTCATACATCATATACATCAGTGAAGACTTCTTTCAAGTAAACACATGCTCTGTGTTCTGCACTTTCTAAGGAGGATAAATCTGGCTTATTTAACAACTCCATTCAGATGCCAGCCCTGACAGTAACCCTGTCTGGGTCTGCTGAAGATTTTGACATGGTCATTATTGTGGTTCTATTACCTAGCACAGATCCACTGGAAATACAATTTGTAGGAGGGAAAAAAAAGAAAAAAAGAGCTTACAATCTTTGGAGATCATCATTAACACTTCTTTCTCTCTGAGCACACCAGTTTGCTGGCATCTGTCCATCAAGTAGTTTATGACTTGCAGAAGTGAGAGAAGCATGTTAAAAAAAAAAACAGTCTATCCAAATTAAAGTGAGATACAGTCAGGCTTAAACAAAAAGAGGACATCTAAGCAAACATATTACTAATTCCACATCCAATCTCAACAAGGTCACCTTTAGATTACAGCAGTAACTAAAGCCAATGAACAATCACAAAAGAAATTATTTCCTTCTGTACATTTTTTTATTATTTACATAATACAACAAAGCATAGCTGCTGGGTAGTGTGATTATATGCAATACATAAATATGAACTATCTGTACATGTCTGCATATCTAATAACTGAACAATGTTAAAGCAAAAACAGACTTTTTAATAGTGAAATAAAAACTAAGACTGAACATTGCAAAGAAAATCAGAAGTTCAAAAGTAGTATCTTGTGTACATATGTAACTATTTACAGATGAGAACAGGCATTATCACAACACTAGTCTAAACTGTACCTGCTTATATAAAAAACACAAATTTCATACATCACAAAGAAACCTTCCATTATAACACAGAAGTGATATTACCAGACAAGCATCAGTGAAGTATACTGCCTTTTCTAGAGTTGTTATTGTACAACGCTGTAGATAATGCAGCCCATGCAATACACCCAAGAACACTACAGTCCTACACCCAAATACAATTAAAAATGATAAAGCAGCCCTTCGAGAGTGGTTCCAGCTACCACTTAAGTCTACAGTAGCTATGTCAGGTATGGTTTTCCATGCAAAGTGGTGCAACCATCACGTTAAAACTAGGAAAAAAATGGTAGTATTATTGTGAACTCAGAAGACACTGAATGTAAGTAGTATGTGATAAACCGCTCTAATACTTCAGCAACTTATTCAGATACATGTTGTTTGATAGAGCTGTTCTGGTATGTCTAAAAACATATGTAACGTGTTTTGTAAACTAATCTTACAACATTGTGCTACACAACAGTTTTTGCTAAGCAAGAAAAAGCTGACAGTTCTGTTGCAGACTGTTCTGTTTTGTAAGACCCCAACAGGACACTTCCTTTGCATGAATAATTTTCACTTAACATAATTGATTCCAAAACAGTGTTCTCGCAAGTGTCTTCTTTTTCCTCAATGCAACTGCTAAGTTACATTCTTAAATATGGCACCAACACTCATCTTACTGAAAGGCAGATCTCTCTACATAGCTTAAATTCTGGTAGAAAACAATGGAGTGTTGCAACTAAAACCAGAATGAGATATATAATGACAAAAGTAGGCTGCCAGCCTTTTTGATGTATCCTTCTCCAAAACAGGCACATAACACTAGCCAAAGATTATATACCTCAGACATTTCAAAAGGCAGATCTGCTGCAAACATGCAGATGGCATACATTTGTTTGGCACAAGTGAAATAATAGTCTGTCCTCTGTGCATGTGTATTCCTGCGCAGGTTTCTAATCATTCAGCTATATTCTAAGGAGGGCATACATATTTTCAAGGGCTGTACCTATCCAATCCTGCCTGTAACAAACTACCAAACATTCTGAAATATAATTAAGACAAACAAGACTAAAAAACAAAACAACTTTGGAGAACATCAAAGGAAAATGGCCATGCACCTGCTCTTCAATGTTTTCCTAGGATATATTATAAACAAAACCAAAAAGTCAGTCTTTTCATAAGCAGTTCCATTTATATTCTCTGGATTTTTTCAGCCACTACCACGGGATTCTCTTTCCTTATTTTTGCTGCAGCTTCTGCTTTGTAGTCATACGGGCAGTTATGCTTGTCAGAATAACGGTGAAGTCCACAAAATAAGTTTCCACAGCGGCAGTCAAATCCTGTCCAAATAAAAATATACAGCATCATTAGAAAGCTTTGTATTTAAGAAAGCTGTAAGTTAATGGCTTAGTTGCTATAGAAGAAAATCATATAAAGAAAATCATATATGTTTGACTCCTCTGACTTACAACAGCCTAGCAAAAAAAAAAAAAAAAAAAAAAAGAAAATACATCTCCAAAACATGTCATTTTTAAGTAATTAGGATTTCGTGATCAACTTCACTGTTAAGTTAATCTTTTAAGAGGCAACTATATTAATATAGATCCGTTCAGCATCTAAGTGTTCTCCTACCTGTAAGGCCAACCTTCTTTCTGCACATGAAACATCTGTTTTTCTTTGGTTTGGGAAGTTCAGGAGCTTTCTCTTCATTTTGTGAAGTACTAGGCTGAGAAACTGATGGGGTTGGTTGAGTAACAACTGTTAAAGCAAGCAAAGAATAGAAAGGTTACAATTTCTTACTTTTCATGACCATATCTAACTATACAGTAGCAAGCATACATTTCTGAAAGATTACTTCCCACTATTAAGACTCTAAATAGACTGTATGAAGTACTGCAGACTAGACTATGAAAAAGTAAATCACAAAGATTTTTAAGTCCACTGCAAGTTCCCCTTTTGGGTCATATTTTCTCTACAGTTCTACTAGTCAGAAAATCTAAGGTATATTTAATGTTCACCCAAAGTTGCACGTACTCTCAATACTAAGAACAACCACACAATCAAGTAAAATTTCTTTTAAAATAGTAAAAATATTATCACATGCAAAGTGTAGTTGAACAGAGATGATACCTACAGAGAATGTAATCAACTGGAACATACTTTGGATAAAAATGAATTTGTCAGTAATACGTCACTGTCATAGTACTGGTTATTGTGCCACTATATACCTCTGAAATCAAGAGAACAAAAACCTGAAACAATTCACCAAGACAGCTCACAGCAAACTACTGATTTGGGGACAGATCCAGAACACTGCTATAAAACACATCATACAAAAGAATCTTAGTATTCAGTAATTTGAAGAATGAAGTATGGATTTTTCACAATAAGTATCTGTATTCTTAAGCTATATTTGGCTTTAAAGTGCAAGCAGGTGTAGCAAAAATTGAAGTCTGTTCATGACAGAAGCAAGTGAAAAATAAGTCAGTGACATTTTACTCGTTACCAAAAAAATGTCATTCACAGAACTTGCATGAATCTGTTTATTTTCTTTTAAAAAATTATTCTCATCAAATTAAAGGGTATTTTTGTTGTTGCTTTAATATCCCCTTAATTTATATACAACTCTTGTGGAAGATAGCTCAGGATATATATTTTAATGCTATCTCAATGGACCCTATTCCTAGCACCGTTTTCCTGAGAACTCCCAGCTGTCTGATGATACAAATTATTTTAAAATACAAGGAGCAAACTACAAAATACATTACAGAATAAGCAAAGTACGTAAGCCTTAAAAACATATTTGTAATGAAATTTATGCATACAAATAAGGTTTGAGTTCAGATTTTTTTACTTCCCGTGAGAATTTAGATTTTTCAGACACAAAGAGAGAGTTATGCTATTTTCCTATCTTTAAATTGTTATTTAATTTCACTTATATTATCATGTTTGTATGTGTTATGAAAAATAAAAGATCACTATTATCCCCAACACCTTGGAAGCCTCACGATTCACTGTGGAAGACAGGCCTTGAATTCCTGACCTGAGTCTAAGAAAGATTTAGAAGTGACAAGTTCTAATTCTCAGAAGTAACAAGAAGTATTCACCATTCAAACCTCCAAAATTTTATACAGTAAGACAATAGCTGCTAATATTTTCTTAAACATTTGTTTAATAGTCCTAATAAATTACAAAAGCCCTTTACTATATTTCTTGTCTGGTAGAGATCTTTTTCTAAAAAAATTGTGAAGTGTTTGGTCTGTTGCTTAGTCCACAAGAGTAACAAAATGTTAAAGGACTTGCATTACAGTCATTACTGTTGTCAGTACTTTCTGGATTAACCGTTACTGTTTTTTGAGAAAACTTCTTTGTATTTGTGATTTATCAACATTTTCTAGAGCTCCAGTTATGATGCTTTGAGCTTATTTTTGAATTCCAAAGAAAGCAGTAATTGGTATCAGTCAATCCATGTAAGAGCTTCTGACCAAAACAAGTTAAAGGACATTGATATGACAAACAGCATACAACTCCTGGGTGCTATCAAGCCCCAGTTACAGCATTAAAAAAACCAACCAAACAAACAAGCAGCATCCAAAAGATGAAGTCAAGCTCCTTTTAGATTTGTTATGCTGTTAATTTGTTTAAAAATGCAACAATAATTGTAAGCCATGACAGGAAAAAAAGAGGAACCAAAAATATTTCTGCACGCTGCAATTTGCTGTACAACTAGCCAGAGAGAAGCTTCATCTGCATGAGAAGGAATTCACAGTATGAGCCCTCACAGGCTACATGCTGTTTCAGTCAGATGCAAGAGAAAATGGATAAAAGAAGGGGCAAATCAAGAATGACCTAAATAATTGAAGTCACTCACACCATGCACTAAGATAAAATTAAAGCAAGGAAAATAAAAAACAACAACCTTTATCACTGCCTAACATGCTCACAAGGAAGCAAATGAGAACAAATCTATCTCAGTGAGAACATTAAAGTTACTGCAGGTACTCTTTCTCCTGTGCTCAAGGAACCTGCACCAAGTGTTCACAGCCACACATAGCAGCACAGGAACCAGGAAGTGAAGAAAATAGTCCTAAGAAATGGGCTGCAGAGGCCCATTTCTCAAATAAGCTGCTGAACAGTATCTTTCCTGCACAACTAAAATGCGTTCAGTAAAGAAGGAAGAGTAGAACATGCAGAGAAAAGGCAGTAAAGACTTAGTAAGTAAGATGGGGCAGAGCTCCTTGAATTCAAATTGAAACATACAGTTTATTTCTTTAAAAGTAAGTACTTTCCCTCAGAAAAGAAGGACTCTTCCTATCACCCATCAGGCAAATGCTCTAGTATTATTTATCCAAAAATAATTAGTGCTTCAAATAATTGCAATATGATCAGGGATTAAATCACTGGACAAGAACTGCGAGTACAAAAAACAAACATGGTTACTTTTACCTGCAGACCAGCTTCCTCAGTAACAATATCCCTGTTTGGATGAATTAAGCTCCATACTACTAAAAGATGTTATTATCATTTTAGCTGAGTTCCTGCTGGCACAAAGCCATCTTCATCACTGTGATCATTTCCCTTACCAAGCTTTGGCTCCAAAAGCTAACTGATCAGGTTTACTCCACTTGAATTTTATCAGACCAATTGTTCTGTTACAAGGCTGAAAAAACTTAAGAATAACAGATGTTCAGAATTGGGTGAACCTTATTAATCATTTCAGATCAAAGTTATCTGTAGCTGTAATAAGCTGCATTACCATCACGCACAGAGAAGTCTACCACACATCTGCTAGGGTAATAAAGAGTAACATAAATCTCAGTATTAGAGGTATCCAAAAAAGCCCACCAATACAGGTATTCCATGACAACTCTGGGAAAGCTTCTTTCATGTATAATCTGAAGATAAGACACATCTTCACAAAAGGCATGTGGGAACACTGATGCTGCTGACGAATGAAGTCAGCCACACGCCACAGCATGACAGCTACTCAACCAAACATGGACGGATCCTAAAGAGAACAAAGCTCTTACCTGACCAAGCTATTAAACCTTAGTGACTTTTTCAAAAACAACACTATGACAACTGCATTTTCAAAATGGACAGTAGGTTTGCTTATGCAAACATAGTTGCTGCAGAAAAGGATGCCTACTATGGTTATTTTTCAGATTTTTCACACGAAAAGTTATTTATTTGATGATTTTCAGTTGAAAAACAAATCTATTTTTCCTCGATCCTCCCTATACTAAAATTAACCAGAAAAAGGCCCCTCAACTAACACCAACTAGAAACTTATTTTCTGATTATGTATAAATTAACCATGGCACAGGATTCCAGCAGCTTGAACTGCACAACTATCATAGGATTACTAAGTAGATAACCTTACGTAGATGCTGGAAGTAGATAACCCTAGTATAGTAGATAACCCTAGGTGCTGGAAGAGCAAAGTCAGTCTTGAAAACATAAAAATACAAGCGCCTTAACTTGACTTCATGAAACCAATTCCGTTGGCCAACACAAAACTAGCAAAACCAAAACAAATAAGAATGGAGGTAAAGTCTGGAGTAATCAGAAAGACAGCAGACTAAACATATGCAGTACCAGAGCAGAAACTGCAGATCACCAAATCCTCTTATTTTTTTTTAAATACAACGGACTAGTATATAAAATTGGAATTTGAAAAGATGAACAGTCCTTGTTAGGCTTTGTCAAGCTTCTTCGAAGTAAATGCTTTATTTTTCAGAAACCAGAACTGCTATGGCAATCTAGGAGCCAAAAATGAAAAGGCTGAAAAATAAACTTCACTTCTAATTTCACAGGCAAGAGAATGAATATATTCTGCAGCATGTAACTTACTTCCCATATGCCCAACTAACAAGCATATAAAATATTTTAAATATTTTATTAATGTAAAGACATCCTGATTTACACATCTCACAAATACAGTTTAATTTGGTCACCATGAAGACATGATCTACCATAAACATTTCAGGGAAACAGCATTCTATCAGCAATAAGCACAGGACCACTGGTTGGACCCTCAGTTCTATTTTCCAAGACTTCAAGCCAATCCAATTTCAGAATTATATAAAGCAGGGCTATCTACAGATATTACAGTAGACATGGGTAACATGAAGATAAACTATTTTGAATGCAAAATGCAAAAAGTTGTATCAGCTGACTTTAATAATGACTACAAACAAACTGTCTATAGTTACAACATGGTTAAATATTATAACATGCAAAGCCAAATCAGAATTAACAAAGCAATTATTACAGCATCAAAATCCAAGAAGTACCAGTTATAATCTCAAGCCTACCATATTTCATAAGCAATCTGTTCAGCATCTTGCACTATTACCAGCAACACACACTGACGACATCTACAATTAAGTTAGAGCAACTCTCATAACATGGTCTGAACCTGGATGCAAGATAACATTAAAAAAGCATATTGGCTTTGTAGAGTCAGTAGACAAGTGAGTCAAACACCATTTTCCACTGCATTCTGAAGCTCATTAAATATTACTTCAAAAAAAAAAAAAAGAAACTACCTGCAGTATGGATGGAATTAGGCCGCAGTTTAGCAGTTATCTGAGTATTTTTAAAATACGTTACATGAGAACATAGACATTTCAATTTCGCATTCACTTTCACTACATGCCATACTACTCCTCAGCTATGGCATCATACCCTGCACTCTAAAATTACTAATTAATTGCTAAATTAATTACTAAAGTTACCAATGCATTAAAAACAAAGCAAATCTAAGTCACTAACATGCATGCTGATACCAATCATGTCTGGTAACAGACACTTCACAGGAGACTCATAATTGAACCATGGTAAGACAGACAAAACCACAAGTGCTAAAAACATACAGTAACTTGAAATAACACGATGTTTAAATATATGTGTTTTCAAAACATTTTTTTAAATGCCTAATCTGCCAACTCATTTTTCTCTTTTGTAGGTATCTTTCACTAGTACTTGCATGCCTGCTAGAACAAAACAGGTTTCATAAGGAAGGGCTACACTATGCCTTACCAACTTGCTGAATTCCTGTATATTGCTCTGATAGTATAATACAAAGAAAGGAAAGAAGTCAAACTAGGTTTGGCATTGAATTCCTGTAATCCACAAAAGGAAAAAAAACAAAATGAAAAAACAAATAGCTGTGAATAATTTCTAGAATGCTTTGGGTAAATTCTGTACTATAATTCATTTCTTAATAATAGTAAGTGTAAAAGCAGGTCAAAAGCTTATGAATATTATGCAAATAGAGCCCACTTAGCGGAGTTTAGACACAGAGGCCTTTAGATTTCTGACTTGTGAGTAGTTCATCATATAGGGAACTAGATAACATATGCCACTGTTCAAATATGAAATAATACAGCTGAACTACAAAATTACAGGTCAGAAGAAAATACAGTGTGCTAGACATGTCAGTTACAACCAACTGGGTCAGTTACATCCGACACACATTTTTTCCTTCAACTGTTAAGATATGACTACTTGAAAACTTGATTTGTCTGAATGAGAATCCAGTTTGCAACCTCAACCTGGGGAGAAAATAAAAATAAAGCAAGATAAGCCTGTAAAGTTTTACCGTTCCCAACCTCAACAGCTTCTTAATTTAAACTACACATTGTTAAAAATTATATCAATTGCCAGATGTAATTATTTATAGCTTTCTGGCTTGCAAAGGAAACACTGAAAATTTCTCTTCCTAATGAAGTTATGGCAGAAAAGAATGCAACTTTATGTCAGTGATGATGTTAAAAGGAGAGATGTACTTAAAGGTCATGCTGTTCATGCTCTATACTACTACCTGTATAACAGTTGTAAGTTCAGTTTCTAGGGTCAGACTGTGCTCAGAACTAGACTTCAAGACTGTGGTATTATCTTAGAGAGTTACAACTAATAGAAAATATCAGCTTTGTTGTTATGAATCATTGTGCATTGCTGTGTCACCTCCGCCTCAGGAGGAGAGAACATCACACACTGAATGTCACTGGAAAAAGGAAGAGAAGAAAAATGCAACCAGTCCAGACACAAGAGGGATTCTGAAGCCTACGGCATATTTTCTCCCACGTGAGATAGAACGTCTTATGGGTATCATAAACATACAGAAAGGGTTGAAGGAGACTCCAAAGCCCACCATTTCCAGCAATTATACCAAGGGCAGGGCTGCCAATTCAGGCCGCCCAGGGCCCATCCAACCTGGCCCTGAATGCCTACAAGGCATGAGACATCCACGTCCTCTCTAGACAGCCTGTGCCAGTACCTTACCACACTCAAATTGAAGAATTCTTCCTAATGCCTAATCTCAACCTACTCTTTTTCAGTTTAAAATAATAATACCCAACTTTTTACAATGTCTTTTTCTATCTTTATAATAATCTTCTTACAGCTCTGAAAGGCTGCAAGACATACTAAGGGAGGCTGTTTTGTTCCAGAAGTTTCTCCAGAAAAATTTAAGTGCTGTGGCATTACACCAACTTGCAACAACTGTTACTGCTTTCAACCGGCAAGATTACTTACAAAAATACAACATATCTTGAGCTGCTATTGGATTTCCACCCTCCCCCCTTTTCTAATCAAGAGAAGCAGGTGACAGCTATCATATAGCTCACTTGTTAAGGAAAAAAACAGGTATTGGGTCTGAAATTGAAGGTTGTCTGTTACACACAGCAAAATGACAGGCTACTATTGGCAGTTTCAGTAAGAGTAAATTCACCATTGCTACCATTTTATGCATTTCTTCGGCTTGCTTGACACCATTTCAGGCAGGAAATCTTAAAAGTTCTACAGGTTCATAAATATCACAGTTGAGCTTTTAAGTTATGTAAAGAAATACTCTTCTGATGACATTGGTTACAATAGTATTAGTAAAGAAATCTGCTCTGAACAGAACAAGAAGAAATACACTTTTGAAATGGACTTTAGCTCTTGTCACGGAATCTCAGCTCAGCAAGACTAGTTGCAAACGGTAAAACCCCCTGTAGAAAAAATGAGCAATTAAATATCAGTTGTTAGAGCAAAACCAGAACTAGTTAAAAACCACTTTTATCCCGTGCTGAGTAGCGTCCTTTGCATTTTATACCCGACTTCATAAGTGAAAAACATTAATTTTATCTTCAGTTTAAATTTACCAATTATCAGCTTCTGTTTTAAGAATACTTCATAATTGTTACATTAAAAAATGGGGATACATATACGCACAGAATGAATACATTAAGGTATTCATTTAAGTAGATTAATAAATGAATTCAACCACTCAGTTGCAGTCCCTTTCCTGCCTCCCTCCAAGCAGTTTGCACGTTTAAGTTTGATCACTACAGCTACAACCTTCCAGTGCAAGAACAAAACATCTAAACTGAAGATTAATTCCCAGCTTTAAGTATCCTACATCCACAGAACAATGCTTTAATTATATCTACTGATATAATTATATATATCTACTGATTTCTCAACATCTTATTTAAAGAATCAACAATTTCTTATTTAAATCTCAACTGATTTCTTATTTAAAGAACCTGTAACCATTTTTGTCAGCATTTTTAAGTCCTTCCTCCACTTTCATTTCTCTGTAGAAAAGAATTTGTAAGAACTCCATTTTTTAAACCCAACAAGCCATGAGTCAGCAGAAGTTGTACTGCTAGATTATGCATAAAAATCTTTGGACTTCAAAATTGACCAATTTACCCTAGATGCAATTGTAGAGTGCCAAAAAAAGAAAAAAAAAAAAAAAGGATTGGGAGTCAAAATTATCTTTAGATGTGTCAGTTTGTTTTTAACCAATACTGAACATGCAACTTAAAGCTATATTCTAGCACCAGTCATTTTTCCTTGACTCCAAGGGAAAACTATTTAAAAGGCATCATTAACTTTCTTAACAATTCCTGAAGACCAGCACCACAATGGGAGATGCCTCCTCTGTCAACTTTGGTTAAGTCACCAGCACAACCAGTGTTACGCCGCAAACATACCTGGCTCAGTCTCTGTTTTCGGTGTTACTTTTTCCTCTCTTGAAATGCTCATTTCTGTCATTTGCTGCGTTACAGGCAAAGCGGCAACAGGCACATTTCTGTTCATGTACAGTGAAACATGTAATTTTACATCAGCTTTAAGTACATAATAAAAATGTCCAAACCCATCAATAGACTACTTGTTTAACTAGTCTCGATGCTCGTCCCTAACTCCTGCTTCTACTATCTTCAGAATATTTTTTGATTCTATTTTAGTTCCCCATAGTAGAAAATAGTCAAATCCGGAGCAAACACTTCTCCACATAAACTGCAAATGCAGAAGTACAACACCAAACATTTTAATCACTAGTCATTTACAAAGATTTATAAAGAAAAGCACTGTCAGGTGTGCCTTCTGCTCCTAAGAAATTGAGTGAAGTGGGTCAAAGTTACTGCCAATCATTAACTTGCTACATACTCACAGCTCATCTGAAACTCAAAATAATACTTTCATCTTACCTCGATTTTTCAGATGTGCTGCCAGCAACACCATCACAGTTGTTTAAGCTAGCAGTATCTGCTCTCTGAACAGATGTAGAGTCTGAGGTAGGACTGTTTGAACCAGTGGCTGGTCCTACAAAACAAGAATTTAAGTCATTATAAACAAGTTGTAGAATACATTAGTCAAATATTCTTGCATATAGTTATGAACTTACATACATTATTCATTACACTGCACACTACCTCTTACTTAAAAGACAGACTATATTACTAACAACTGTAATATCATGTAAGAGATCATGTAAGAATATACTGACACTAGAAATAAGTGGAGAAGAAAATTAAGGGTGGATCACAACATATTACACAGAAACACATTCCTATTTTTACTGTGTTTTGAATAAGTATACTCTTTGAAATTTGATTTCAGTGTACAACATTCAGAAATTCTCCCAAAACATGTTATGGGATTCCTCTTCATCAGTTTTATGTTTTAATTCAAAATAAAATAAAACCAAGAAAACAGAGATATTGTGAACTCTTACCCATTGGACTGATTCTGCCACTGTTCTGCTGCCGTTGAAGATGTTCTTTGTAGCAAACAGAACACATCCCGTTTGTCCTAGGATTTCCATAAAATCCACATCCTGTACTACACAGCATAGGCCCTGGGGTCTGGTTTGTCTCCTGAGTCATCTCGATGCTGTAAATAAAAGCAAGAACTGCATTAGGAGCAGACATGTCACCAAAATCAATTACAGGGTTACAGAATTAAAGCACGTCTGCTCACCCTGCTCCCATAAAATGATATCAGCATTCTTGAAAAGAGATTCATGGACATTAATGAGCCATTCAATACTGCAGTTGTATTGTTAAGTAACATCATTACATATCCTTAAGACAAGAAAAAAAGTTATCATGCTGATGATACTGAGAAGTAGCATGCTTGTCAAACATTGAGCTGCATGTACAGGTTATGACCAAATTCAATTAATGGCAAAAAGCCCTTCGTTATCAACCTCTGAGCATTAGCATGGATATGCAGAATAAGCAAAATCAACCTTGTATCTGCTGTACCATTTTGGCAATTAACAGCTTATTTTACCAAATTCCATTCAGAACCACTCCGCTTTTTCAATAATGTTGATTTTGCAACATTTTGACATTTATTCTGTTACTAGCAGGATTAACTTCCACAGCCCATTTGTTAAAAAAAAAAAAAAAAACAAAAACAACAATAAGATCCCTGAAGTATTGGCAACAGCCAGTTAAAACCTGTATTCGTATCTTTAGAAGAAGTTTCCAAAACAAGGCCTCAAATACTCCTCAGGCTGTGTATGAAAGTTGATACTGAGTATTAACTGGCAACAACAAGTGCACAACAGTCTCTTCAACAGAATCTAAACAATATTTCTGAAATAAGATTAGACCTGACTTTGCTTTCCCAGGTACATCCCATCATGCTGCTGACACTTCTCAAAAGAGCCATTTAAATTATTTGTATTAATAAAGTTATATAAGACTTCCAAACCCTCAAACAGACAATGCCTAAGTCTGTAACACAAACTGCAGTAGTTACAAATAACAATATTTCCCCTTCACTGCTGGTGAATCTCAGCAAAGTAAGGTGAGCAGAAAAACCGATACAGAAACAAAGCCTTTGATTTGCAAGGGCAACAAAACTTGAGCACTGAAATCAAGCAATGTAATACAAATTGAGGACATGTAAGCATATTGCACTTGTCTCCACATGCCAAGTATAGTGTTTCTAAATCCTGAAGATATTTGCATATCTTCTTTAGATGACAGCCTTCCTACTCAGGAAAAGTCAAAAAAGAGATATTTCACAGCTGATACTTGTGAGAACTCAAGAATGCTGAAAGCACATTTATTATGCTGCACAGAAAAACACTTTTTGTAATTAATTAAATGCTACACAGCAATTACTGTAAAGTCAGATTTCAATAGCTTAGTAATTGCAACTGACAGTAGCCTTTGTCCAATTCAACTAAGTTTCTAAGAGAAAAATAATTCAGAAACAGGAGATAATTTTTTTTTTTTTTTTTTTCCTGCAGGTGATTATGGAACCTGATTTTTTCCCCAGCTATAAATAGAGCTGCATTGGTACACGTAGTCATTTCCACTTCGATAAAACACTCAACAACACTACATTTCTACAGCCTTACACGTCAGACACGGAAGTCAGCGTAAATCATGACTAAACTACGCAAATCTAAAACCTCTCATCTACATTCTAGGTTTACACTTAGAGAAAAACAAAGAGCCCATTTCTGCCCTCTTGTTAAGTAGGTAAGCTTAAAACACTATCAAATATGCTGCCACCATCAATCTCAACTAACACGCTCCACTTCAGATTAGATTCAAGCTGTGAATCTGATTCATACTGTGAATCATATTTTACCACCTAAAGCATCCAGCCTCAGGTGCTAACACTGTTTTTAAAATACTACAAACAGCAAGCCTTGACAGCTGCTTGGTCTGCAGTTTCTTCCATTGTTTGAAATATACATCCCTAACAGAAAAGATGGGCTGTTGTCCAGCCCTTCAGAAATGGTGTTTTTCAGGCTTCTGAAGAAGATCCAGGTCTAACCATTTATTTTTATTTATTGCACACACAGGTGAACAGTTATAAAAAAAACTTACCAAGCGGAATCCACTATCCAGTACGCTAGGTTTTGCTGTATCAGGTTCTGAACCAGCAATGGCTGAAACAAGGTCTTCAGACCAGACGAATTACACACTTCTCCAATTCCTCCCTAGTGGAACACCTATGAATGTCAGCAGCTAGCTGAAGTGTTCCTACAGATATAGCTTCCCTCCTTTAAAAAGCCAGCTCCCAATGCCATCACATGTGTACTGCTTTCCTCAATATTTCTCAGAAGCACGGGTCACATGGGTGAGCGCATTAGCTTCCGCCTGTCACAAGGCTGCAATGTGACAGGCTGAGCTGGAGGCTCAGACACAAAACCCCGTCAATAGGGGCCTCTGAAATCAGCTTCTATTTATATCTCCAAGGGCTGACAGCTCCGTACAGCCCACAAGGCCGAGACAGCCGCGCATACACCCACCGCGAGAGCAAGATATGAAATCTGATTAACAGGACCGCGGCTTCCTTTCTAAAGGAAGAGAGAGCGAGAAGACCGAAATTCACTCAGGGAAGTGCAGCATTACCGGCTCGTCATCCCCAACAGCCATTTTCAGCCCCAGACACGGCGGGTGTTACAACGGGCCTCATAGCTCACTTTAAGGCCCCCGACCTCCCGGGGCAGGAGGCTACAACGGCCGGATCGCCTCCCTTTTGCGGAGAGGAAAAATAAAATTCGCTCTGCCTCCCGGAAGGGGTAAAGCCTTGGCCCGAGGGATGCCACCACTTCACCCCGCGCCCTCGCAGCACGGAAGCGTTGCCCTGGGCAGTCCTTCAGGGCCGGGCAGCGAGGCGGGGAGGCTCGGCCCAGCTCTGAGGTCCCGCTGCGAGTCTCGACACCGCACTTCGTCGGTTCGAATTTTAACGGTAGAGACCGGATAGCGACCCAAACAGATAGGATTCAAACCGATCGCAAAACCTGGGGCCCGCCGGCCTACGTACCCCGCCGCCTGAGGGCCCGCTGTTTACAAAGAAAAAGCCAAGTCCTCGCAGCGCGGCGCCGCGGAGGAGCACGGCGCGGGCCCAGCGCGGCGCCAGACAAAGAGGCCGGCGCTGCCAAGTGCCCGGAGTGCGCCACGCTCCCCCTGCCCGCTCTGCCCCCGCCCCGTGGGTACCGGCGCACAGAAGCCGCGGAGGCCGTCAGGCCCGGATGACAACCCCGGGGGCGGGCCCTTGACCGAGCCGCACGCAAAGCCCTGAGTCACGGCCCGGACGCCGCCGGCCCCGCGCCCCCCATTGTGCCGCCGCGGGCGGGCCCGAGCCTCCCAGGCCCCGGCGAGACGCCCTCGGAGCCGGCCTTGCCGCCCTCTCCGCGCCCACCTACCTGGTGCCGGCGGCCGGAAGCTGCGCGTCGGGTGTCGGAGAGGGCTGCGGGTCGCCGCCGGGAAAGCGAGGGTCCGGGGACTGCGAGGCGTAGAGCCGCCGCCGCTTCCCTCCTCCTTTGTTTCTGCGGCCGTCGTGGCAGCGGCGGCGCCGGCGGGAGGCGAGCCGCACGCTGTACGCAGGGAGGGTGGAGAGCACCGGCAGGCAAGAGTCGCGGATCGGCGAGGAGGAGGAGGAGGAGGAAGAAGGAGAGGAGGCGGAGCCCACTCCCTCGCCTCGGCCCCGGCTCCGACTCCGGCTCCTCCCTCTTCCCCTCACCCTCCTTCTCCCTCTCGACTCCGCCTCACGCTGTTGAGGCATGCGTACTCCTGCGAGAAAGAGCGGATCGAAGAGAGCGGCGGGCAGGAGAGCGGTAGGGCGCCTGCGTTGGGCTTTGTGCGTCCGACGCGTGCGTTGGGCGCGTGGTGCCGCTGCGCGCGGAGTCCGGCCCTCCGGCGGGTGGAGGTGACGTCATGGGTTGAGGGACGGCGCCGCCGCCGCGGGCGCGCGAGGGGGGGCGGCTGTTGGGGACCCCGCGTGGGCTTCCCCCTTAGGAAAGGAGGAAGCTGCTGGGCGCTCCCGTGTTACCTCCTGGCACCGAGGGATTGAAATTTATGTTCTGGCTGGTGAATTTGTGCCTGGTCGGACCTCGAGATAACGCATTTATTGTGCCGGATTGCGCGAAGCGCGTGTTTCCAGGGAGACGAGAGCAGAGGCGCGCCTGCCGGGTGCTGCTGCGCCTACTTACACGGAGGAGGTGGCACCCAGCTGGGTGGGAGAGTGGCATCGCTGTGGGCAGTGTGGGGCTGGGACAAAAGTCAAAGGAAAGAGAATAAAAAGTCTGTGTGAGCAGGAGAGATGCTTGCTTACTGTGGGCGAGGAAGCTCTGGCGCGGGCTGCCCAGGGGCTGTGGAGTCTTCTCGGCGGTCTCCGGAAGCCTGGGCAGCCTGCTCTGTGTGTCCCTGCTGCAGCAGGGGCAGGAATCACGGGTTGGCAGGTGGTCCCACGGGTCCTGCCGACCTCAACAACGCCGTGTTTCTGACAATCCTATTTTTTTAGGCTTCCTGCTCTCATAGAGAGCAACATAGGGTAGTTGTGCCTTAAAAGCTCATATGGGAGGTTGTGCCATTGTTGTTTGCTCTATCATTGTAAACTAAGGCCAGAATTATTTTTTTTAAGGAAGTCTATGAAGGGGAAAGTACTTCTGTTTATCCAGGCATTACATTCTTGAAAATAGATCTTCAGCTGTAAAACACAAGGTAGCTTTCGATAAATATTCTGAGCAATTCAGCTTTAAATGCAGCTTCCACCTGTATTGAGGATACTTGGAGATTAGTGTATTGGATATATTTATGGGCCTTTGCTTAATTTCTTAACCCCCCAAAAAAAGATTAGGTTTGAAATGCACGGCACTGTGTAAAACAGATTACTGAAATTACTAGAGTCTTTTTTTTTTTTTTTTTTTTGCCCTGACGCCTTTGGGAGCTGATCTTCCTATCTTCCTTGCTTGTGGGAAAGATGTCTCCTGAGGCCCAGAGGATTCTGAGGTACATATTGCTTTCAGTTAGGTGAAATTGTGCTGTGCTGCAGTATAGCACTCTGCAGAAGTAGCTCTGGCTATTGGCACTGTGTTTGCTGCGGGTCTTATTGCTACAGAACAGTGATGAGTATTTGGAGCATCTCCTCTGTTATCTGAAACATTTGGGCTGCCCTCAATGTCAGTAGTACAGAATAATTCCATCATTGTGAGGAAAAAATGTAAGTGCTGTTTGACTTACAGTGCAGAAGAGAACTCTTTTGAAAGCAGCACTCTCAAGGGGTGAGTAACTTCATCACTTTGATGGGAAAAATGGGAAAGGAAGTTGAAGCATGTATTGCTTGTCCTTTGCAGAGATTTTGTGACCACAACTGAAGATTTTGGAGTCTCAATGTCAAATTAAAAGCTGACCTACTAGTAGCGATGGAGAGCAATCACCATCTCTCATAGTATGGTGGGGCAGAGGTTAGAACAGTTTCAGATGAAAACTGTCAACTTCTTTGGCTTGTTCCAGGAAAGGCTTCTTCTGAAATAGCAGAGTGGTTTTTCAGTAGATTTACCAGGAAAGTTTGTCCCAATGGCAAGGAACCACTCAGAGATGAGGAGTCTTAGAAGAATGGGAGAATTTGCTACTAAGGATCTTTGCAAGCAGGCTTGTCTTCCAATTATTAACTTCGGTATGTAAGTTGATTTAGAAATGTAGTAGGGATAGGAGATGGCATGGGCATTTGAGAGTATGACATCACTAGATATGGAGTTCTGCTGAAGCTGCAGAGTGGGGGGCTATTTTTACAAGCCATGGAACAATTGCCTCTGTGACTCTAAGCATTTTTATTTACTGGAGATTTTATTCCTTCAAGGTTTGAACTTTCTAGGTCCATCTGTTTCCTTTAGTTGTTCAGGTCTGACTACCCTGCTCAGGATGTGAAAAGAAATAGGTAGCCCTGATAATGTAATTTTTTTTCTTTATTATTATTATTTTTTAATCTATCAACAGGATCTGTATGTCTTATGAAACAGAAGGCAAAAATGCTGCAGCATTTCCCCAGTATGGAAGAGAACTTTCTATTTAAATTGCTGATTATATTAAGTGACTGAATCATACTCCTTCAAAGCAAACCACAGCATAACTGAAAAGAAAAAGAAAAAAAAAAAGGAATAATGAAATAATAATGCATTTTACTTAACTCAAAGAGCCTAGCACATTAAGAATGCTGTAAGCTACTTCCTAACTCATCTGGAATGTTTGGGACCTTAAAAGGAGATCAGAGTAATTCCAGTACATTACCCAACGAAGAGCTGAGATGTCAAAAGAATATTTCCATCTTTAGAAGCCACAACTTTAGAAGGGAGTAATTTTGGACTACTCAGTTTGTCTACTCAGTGTCATTGCAGGTAACCTGTGCATCTGAGAAAGCAGGTGGATTTGCTTAGAGAATTTTAAACAAGTCCACTCAGCCAGACATCCTCATTGTACATTAGTAGCTAAAACGGAATGCTGTTTTCAACTGGGGCATTTGATTTTCATCATAGTGTCTGATATGATACTGTGTTTTGGTTTTAGGAGAAAAATCAGTGTTGATAACAGGTGGGCATTTTAGTTGCTACAGAGGAGCGCTGCACAAAGCCAAGAGCATTTCACATTTTCAGCTTCTTGTACTGTCTTGCTAATGAAAGGGGCTGGGGAGCACAAGAAGCTGAAGAGGTTAGAACCACGAGAGGTGACCCAAACCGACATCCTGCCAGACAGTAAGACCAACAGGATTTGGGTGGGGTAGAGCCACTGCTGGGGGACTGGGTGGGCATTAGTAAGCAGGTAGCGAGCATTGTGCATCACTTACTTTGTAAACATGTTAGTATTTATATTATTACCATTATTTCTGTCTTCCTCTTCTGCCTTAGTAAGTAGTTTTTCTCTCTACCTATGAGTTCTATTTATGTCTTTTTTTTCCAGCTCTCTCCTCTAGCTGGGGGGAGAGTGCCTGAAAGACTGTGTTATGCTTAGTTGCTTGCTGATGTAAACCACAAAAAAAAAAAAAAACCAAAAACCCACACACCTTCTTCTGTCTTACAGCTCTTATGCCTTTTTCTATCTTCTTTTTCCTCCCTTGCTCCTCTCAGGAACCTGACTCCAGTATTCCATGGTCACTACAGCATCACGGCTGTGTGTCCTTTCTGGCTGGCACACCTACTGCCTGTATGACAAGAAGTTACCTGTGACACCCTTCAGACGTCTCCTGGATCGGCTGTGTTTGAACATGTTAAAAGTTGGGGTGAGGATGTGGATGTGTGACAGAGACTTCAAAAAATCATTAATGATAGCTGCATCTTCTTTCTTAATTAGTGAGTGATCTGTAGCACATTTCAACCACAATGTCACACTTGGTGACCCTCCTCTGGCCTGACTAGAGAGCTCTTACTTTGGCCTGAGCCCCACGCATCTAAGCTACTCTTTCCCACAGGGGATGATCTGCATCTGCTCTGCCATTTTCTCAGGAAGGACTCATTTCAATCTGTCCATCCATCACAGCACTCCAGTAAGGTGAGCTGTCCCACACAGAGTGCTTTCATGAAAATAGCTTGTTGCATGCACTCTTGTTTGAGCATGTAAGTCTCCTGTCTTCATTAAACTCTGATCAGTGGAAGTTCTGCATGGCAAAAGCCATCACCTCTCAGCCGATCACGTCCCAGGTTTCTTTCAGGCTTTAATTATTAAATTGAACATCTGTTATCTGTGCTGGATAAGACACTTTGTTGAGCTATACAGCAGTGGTAATGGCTTCCAGGAAAATCTTGCTATTTTATATTAATCTGAAATCCTGGGCAGCTCTAACATGGGCACTGTTATGTTAATATAAATAAAATGAAGAAAGCTTATCATTTGTTATACCAAAATCTTGACGGTGACAAAAATGTCTTAGCTCTTTATTATGAGCAGAGCCTTGGTTTGAGGCATGCACAGTTGTGAACTGCTGTGAGTGCCTCAGTTTGGCTTGCAGTGCTGATCCTAAGCAGCATTTCTAGTTTCCCTCACTCACTGCAGTAATGGTGTCCCAGTCTTCTTTGGATTCATTTCAACTTTCAGAACCTTATGAGCTCCTTACGGGATGTATCAGTTCATGGGCTATTCTGAATAACCTGTCTGCTTTTTGGGTGAGCTCTCCTAAGGTGCCATTGTCTCTCATTTTTTCTCCTTAAGAAGTCTTGTGAGTCATTCGATACTTTAATAACCTTTTGAACTGCTTTCTGATGGAGCTTTAGGTAGCTTTGTTTCAATGGATTGCTCAGTGGCTCCTAATTTAATTTCCTTTAAAATCAAAATCATAAGGTGAAATCTGATCTGTAGAGCTTGATAGCCAGCATTTGTGATTGGCAAACTGAATCCAAGGACAGATATTAAAGAATTCTACACTGAAATAGTTTCTGCAGCACAGCACTGAAGAAGCCTAGGTGTCTGTCATCCAGAGCACCTGTAGTGTTCATGTCACTCATATAATCTGAAAATAAGTGGTCTCCAAAGTGTGTTGTTACGGTGCAGGAGGAAAATGCTAGAACTTCAGAAATATGTCTTTATAAATATACGTATATTGGATGTGTGTGCTCAAAAATCTTTTGCTAATAGGGATACATGACCAAAAATGTTTGGACACCACTGATTTGAACTATGTCAGTCAATCATATCAAGTCTTGTCCACTGCAAGAA